TATATATATATATATATATATTATATATATATACAAATATATATATATATATAATATATTATATATATATATATATATATATATATATATATAAAATAGATTATATATATATATATATATATATATATATATAATATCGAACTGTCTATATATCAACATATCTATCTATCAATCTATCATCCATATATTGACTCATTTGTCTATATATCTATCTATCTATCTATCCATATATCGATTTATCTACCTATCGACCTATCGACCTATATGTCTGTCTGTCCAGTTACCTATCTATAATATATAAATATTATATATATATATATATATATATATATATATATATATTAATATATATATATATACATATATATATATATATATATATATATATATATATATATATGTATATGTATATGTATATATATATATATATATATATGTTGTCTCATATCCCGCATTACATGCCCACAGCGAGTACTATACACACAACAAGAGAACAAGACACTGAGGATATTGCAATACGATCACAATCTTCAACCAAATACCTCAGCCAACATGCGAAGGAGCTCTTCCCTGGCTTCACCCACACGGTCACGATCATTGGAATCGATGACAAAGATAAGACCTTGTGTGTTCTGGAAGTAGTGTCTCCAAAGGGGTCGGATCTTGTCCTGACCTCCGACATCCCATACGGTGAAACTGATATTCTTGTATTCGACGGTCTCTACGTTGAAACCTGGAAATGCAGGAGAGAGAGAAAAATGTAGAGTTAGCACTACCTACAACGATGTGTGAACACCCACGTTAAATATCAGTATGCGGACACTGTAGCCTTTTATTTATTTTATCCACCATGCTACTGCTATACAAACAACCCCACCAGTAGCAAAACACAGTACAAAAGTCTATTACCATATCAACCTCCTCATACCCCACCCCTCCCTCTATAATAGTACAAAAGATAGACACAATTCAATAACGAGATTTGAACGAGCATACGTGGTCATCATACACAACGGGAATGTAGAATATGTACATACAAGTCCGGCAGCAAGTAACAGATCACGCACATAACTATGTGTACTTGTTATACTTATACAATATGATGTTCATTCAGATAGTGAATTTTCCCATATATATTTTTTTATCCTGATATATACATCCGAACTGGATCGACACTGGAATTCTCCGAACATGCAGATTGTTTTCAGACATGTATATACCCTTGTAAAGGTGGAACCGAATTATAAAGCACGCGTAGCTGTGTTCAGAAAGTTCTAGGGGTACTTAGCAACGATATGATCCCTAGATAAGGCTCAATACCACAATCACCACTCCAAATTTTGTGCTTGTTTCTGAAGCAATCTCAATGTCAATACATGTGAGCGAAGCATATGTAACAGACGTACCGATAGTGGGGATAGTGGTGACGATCTCACCCAACTTCAACTTGTAAAGGATGGTGGTTTTACCAGCGGCATCCAATCCTACCATGAGGATGCGCATTTCCTTCTTGCCGAAGAGGCCTTTGAAGAGAGAGCCGAAGATGTTTCCCATGGTGAAGTCGTTCTGAACACTTAACAGCACACAACTAACACAATTCGCACACAAGCTTTGTGTTCTTATAAACACCTGGTGTATATTTTTTATTTGTTGTTCTGTTTAGGGAGGCTATGATTTGTTCGGATTTTCCATAATTTTGTGTCTAGTGTTCTTCCATCCCCACAGACTACAGACTACATACAGAGTCCCGGGCTCCCAGACCCACCCTCATCAACAGAGTACAGACCACAGCACGCCTATAGTTTTCGATCATGATGTCTGTTTGTTTCTGTCTTGAGAAAAAAATAATAATAAAAACAACCCCTCCAAAAAAAAAAAAGGCGAAACGAGAAACCTGCCAATTGCCAAACCTCATCATCCTTGTCATACGTCTCGGCCCTCTGGATAGGGTCTCGAGCAGAAATCAAAGTTTCTCTCTACAACAATCGAAAATTTAGCAGAGACCTAAAATCCAGAGGGCCGTGCATACGTTTTGGATTTTTGTTTTTGTTTTTTATAAAAACTAAAAAATATGCGTTCTAAATGAGACAGAAAGCAGATAACGGTTTAATATTTTTTTAAACGTTGTAACGTATCAGAGGGCAAGAAAGGGACTGACCTACTATGAAAGACGATAGGACTATATGAACGTATCGCTGTATCTATACTGCACCTTAAGGCCTCAAAACCTACACTTTAAACCCACATCACGTGAATTGTTTGTGTCAACGGAAAGTTGTTTTATTATAAAATATATTCCTACATAAAGTTGTCTCTGGGAATGTCGGAAACCCAGTGTTTCCGAATATCCGGTTTCCATATTCAAAGTTTTCGCTCTCGCTGCTGGTTTTATTCATTTTAGTTTATCCCCTCTGCAAACCCACAATATCTATTTTTAAATATAATATAGAAAAGGTCTTGTGAATTTGAATTCTGACCCAACCCAAACCACATCTGCTCTGTAGTGTGAAATTGTGAATAGATTTGTGACGCTCATATTATTCACTACATTACATGGACCGGGGTATTTTACATTACTTGATTATGTGAACGCTTTTCAATTGTTCGCTGGAGACAGAATTTTGGTCTCGAAAATTCTGTGATTTAGAAGGCTATGCGAAAATTCATACACGTCACGAGTGTAAATACGTTAAAGCATGACCCTCTGGAAGATAGGGCTCTATCAGAACAACGATCCCCTATGGGGCCGGAAGGATAAATTTTTATTTTCTCTCTCTCCAAATTCAGAGGGTCACGGTCTAAGCGCCTAAGTTGGCACAACGACAATGCCGAGTGGAGATCGCGACCTCAGTGATACAATCAATGATCAGCTGTAGTTGCTAGTAGTCTGCCAAGCTCGGAATATCAACTAGTCGCGTATCGACAGTGAAAAAGAAACTTGTCAGGTTCGATGATTTTTGCTCTCATTTTCTGACCTGTTGCAGGCAGTGATCCCAGTGATGCAGAATAGTCATTTAGTAGCGGATTGCTTCAATTGTACTGCTGAATGTCATGATGCATCAGAGACCCAACGAACTCTGTCGCGCACGGCGGCCTGTGCTGCTCAAATACTGGTGGTGACTACATGATGCCCCTATTAAACCGCATCGTATACTCGGCTGTACTCGGATGAGTCCATAATACATCGTATACGCACCACACACTCAATACAGGCAATTTATTTATTTTTAACTGTAGAGATGTAAATAGAGAGATTATTTAAGAGAACCTTTCTTGACAGACTCATGTGACGACTGATGAGTCTTTCGGACTCTTGTCTCGCTCACTCGCTACTTCGTTGTTTTTTTCAATTTTCATGCGTCAACTCAAAACTGCATACATTGCAAAGTAATCACGCCCTCTGGCCTCTGGATTAGGGTCGCTCGCAGAAATCAGGTTTCTTCCATCTTTTAAAATTAGCAGACTCTATCCAGAGGGCCGTATCATGAAAGTATTTATTTATTATATTTGTAGACTGACAGAGTATACTTATTAGTATTAATATTTTTCAAAAAGTATTTTGAAGGCACACGTGCAATCGTGTCCGTGTGTAATGTGAAATCAGAAATGTCAATGTGTATTCGTTTGAGGTGGTGGCTCGAGCAGCGTAACTTGGAGCGATGAGCAGACCACCAATAGGATCCTTTCAAATTGTCACAATTGGTCGCAATCTCTGTTATAAAAAATATGAAGTATGTAGATTGTAGAACATTGCTTGAAATTTTTGAAATGATTTACCATAGCCTGCTAAATAAACCATTTTACGGCTTTTGATATACCTTTCATTAAAAAATAAATTATAAATTCTTTTCCGCCTGCTTTATCGAATATCGATCAAACACGAATACACACGCACAGGCCGCATCGCCATAGCCCACAGCCGCAGATGGCAGCCGAAGGAGAAAGTGTACATGTACGTATGATAGTACCTGCAATATAACATCGATCATCTGCGTAGATACTCATTCCGGTATAGGGTTATTGCAACGGTTCATCAACTGAGCTTTTCTTACTGTAGTCTGAAGAACTGCCACACTACTAGCATAACAACTCATCAGAATGACAAAGAATGCAAGTTCGACAGGCGCATCGCCTGCGTGTAAGAAGGACAGGAAGAAAAAACCGCTCATAAAGATCCCCACTAGAGTTCGGGGAGCTTCACTGAACGCAGCCGCGAGTGCATCTGTAGAGAAAATCACGTCACCTTACAATACGTCCTTGTCGGCTCCAACAGGATGTGAAGATGCGGCTGGTGGCAAAAATGCCGATGGCGACGGTAAGTAAAAAGAACACGTCTATCTGTCGAATTTTGTATGCTTTATG